AAAAAAAAAGAAACGTGGCCCAGGCATCTCGGCGTGGGCATGGCCGAGATGCACCGGCCACGCCCGCAGAAAAAAAAAAAGAAAAAAAGAAGAGAAAAGCTGAGTGCCTGAGGCCAGAACGCTGAGTTCCTGAGTCCCTGAGGCCAGGGGCCTACGGGTCCTTCCCTGTGAAACTTGGCAAAACACGGTATTTTTGCTGGCAAACTACGGGAACCCGATAAAGCTGCAACGAAACCTCTATTTTTGCAAAGGAAACTTCAAACGGACGACATTTTCGCTGCCAAACTTCGAAACAGCAATATTTTTGCAATTAACCCGCAAAAATACCGCTTTTTGCCAAGTCTCACAGCAAAGGACCCCTAGGCCTCTGGCCTCAGGGACTCAGGGACTCAGCGTTCTGGCCTCAGGATCTCAGCTTTGTTCTTTTTTTTTGTTTTCGTTTTTGTTTTTTTGTTTTTCAGGCATGGCCAACACATCTGGGCGTGCCCACAGCTGAGATGTCTCGGGCACAGTCGCAAAAAAAAAAAAAAAAAAAAAAACAAGAAACGTGGCCGAGGCATCTCGAGCGTGGCCATGGCCTCGGAAATGCCCGCGGAAAAAAAAAGAAAAAAAAAAGCTGAGTGCCTGAGGCCGGAACGCTGAGTCCCTGAGGCCAGGGGCCTAGGGGTCCTTCGCTGTGGCAAAACGCTGTATTTTTGTTGGCAAACTACGGGAACCCGATATGAAGCTGCAACGAAACGAAACCTCTATTTTTGCAAAGGAAACTTCGAACGGACGACATTTTTGCTGCCACCATAAATAAAATCCAAATGTTTCAAAGTTTGGTATTTTTGTTCTGCCGGAATTTTGCAGTTTCACCAAGTAATTATGTTTTAAGAATTCACAATTTAGCGTTTCTTTCCTTCTCTTAAATTCTTCTTTGAAAATACTAAAATAGCAGAGAATGTCTAGTTCTTGTAAAATTTTGCGGAAAGCTGGACATTTTAGAAAACTTAGGAATTAAAAAGTTGTGTTTTTTCTTCTGGCTTTCCGAAAAAGGGGGGGGGAGGGGGGGAGTCTGCAATAATTGCGAGTACCGTTTATTCTTCCACGGTTACAGTCAAAAGTCAGTTTCATTCCTCATTACCTTTCACCCTGACAGGAGGTCACCCATCCCAGTACTATTCCGGCCAATCAGCAGACTGAGCGTGAGCTCCATCGTAAAGGGCTAAGAAGGTGAGAATCAGCAAAAAATGCTAATTCTCACGGTGAGTTTTGGAGGTAGGAAAAACTTCTGGAGGTAGGAAAAACAATTGCAGTACAAACTACAGGGAAGTCAGCAAGTCCTTGGACTGCAATTGTTTTTCCTACCTCCAAAGTTCACGATTTGCTGACCGCCCTGTAGTCCGTATTAGGTCCTCTCAAACATGGTTGACCTTGACTCCAGGTTTCAGTCTGATTATCTCGGATATAGCCAGAATTTTCATCCTAGAATACATGCATCGACCCCATACTTGGTGGGGGCAGGCTTGCAATTTTTTCTTTGTTGTACGCAAGTTCCACTGCAATGAGCCCGTCAATGTATGTGAAGCTTCACAAAAGTTATTCAAGTACGAAAGTATTGCCAGTGGACGCGAGTGGTGAACAGCTCACAAATTGAAATTGAATGCAGAACAAGTCGAAGAACACACAATGCATTCACAAAATGAAGCAGCAAGTGAGCAGAAATTCGACAAAGGAAGAGAATTATTGGAAAGATAGGGAGACGAATTTCATGAATACATTGAATAGTCAATAATAGAATCGAATAGGCTCCTCATCCCTCTTCTGCTTTGGGACCTTTCTCCACCAACTTGCCACCTCAGCACTGGGAAACTTCTCTGAATGAACAGTTACTGATGAAGTTCTCTCTGCAGGCAGCTGCTACGATGCCCAACCTCCAGCATCAATGCTGGCTATAGAGGTTGGGGCCCCATGTAAGCTTTCTGCTCTCTCACTCTCTTCCCTGGGGGTTCAACTTGGCGTCAGCGTTACTCAACCTCCTGATTTGACCAGCAACAGTACCTATATCACCAAGTTGAACCCCCAGGTAAGCTTTCTGCTCTCTCACTCTCTTCCCACTCACAAGTCTTGACCCCAAAGAGCATAATTTTCTCAGAAGTCGCGGGGATCTCAGACTGTCACAGTGATTTTTTGCAGGTCATTGCACAGGAGTCACCCCTTAAACCACAAGTACACAGTCCCAGCCTTGCAGTCTGAAACTTGTGTCCACAAGAACACAGGCCGAATCGTCAAACACTAGGCCCACCGTTGATAAATTCGATCGGCGGCCCCGTTTTCGCTTCGCGCCTCCAGAATTTGAGGTGTCAGACCCGGGGCCCAGGTGCCCATGTATTGGTGTCCCCTCCAAGCCAGAGCCACCATGATAACGATGATCTGGAGGTCAATCCTCAAGGAGTAATCAGAGCCTCCCAGCGGCTCTGTTGAAGCGGGATTCCATTCTTTTAATTTTGGGGTAACTATGGCACAGTCACAAATGCAGTTTGTTATTTCATTTCAAACTGCATTTTAGCAGTTTAGTCAGGGCTCGAGTTTCAAATGCAGTTCAGA